GAAGAGAGCTCAGCTGGGAAGAAGAGAGCTCAGCTGGGAAGATAGCACAGCTGGGAAGCACTCCCCATGCAGAGCACCACCCGCATTCCATCCCTGCAGCCAGGATGGGTCCTGAAAGTTGTCCTCTGACTTTTCAAAACAAAAATTAAATTACGTGCGCGCGCGCGCGCGCGCGCGCGCGCGTGTGTGTGTGTGTGTGTGTGTGTGTGTGTGTGTGTGTGTGTGCGCGTGCCATCTTTCCAGCCCTTCTTCTGACTTCTTTACCTGTGCTCTCAGGCATGTACACATCCATACTCACACATCACTCACATATATAATAATTAATAAGTAAAATTTAAAAAAAAAAAAGCCAGGCGGTGGTGGCACACCCCTTTAATCCCAGCACTCGGGAGGCAGAGCCAGGCGGATCTCTTTAGTTCGAGGCCAGCCTGGTCTACAGACTGACTTCCAGGAAAGACACAAAGCTACACAGAGAAACCCTGTCTCGGAAAAAAAAAAAAAAGGTTCACCCTCTGGTTTAACTTTGTCCTGTAATTAAGCCTGAAGTTAGAACGGCTTTATCTTGAGGATGTTTGGTAATGTTATTTGGCAGGCTTTAAGGGATTGGAAAATCCTGATTGACTATCAGAGCTCACTTTGCTGGAGTCAGGCAGGAACTACCGTCCTTTATCACCACAGCCCCAGTGTGTAGGATCGCTGCCTGATGCACAAGAAGCCTGTGCATTGCCAGGGAGATGACTGCGTATGAATTATGTTTAAAACTCATCGCCTAGATCTAAGATTCCGTCTCAGATTGCACGCTCTGTTGCAGTACAGGTTACTTGTTTTACCTTGTAAACCCTGCCCCTGTGCAGTGTGTGGCTATTTTGATTCAAAGAAGCCTGCTTCTAAACTCTCCCTCCACTCCTAACTCTGTACCCCATCGGACAGCACATGGCTGGCCCTGTTCAGCCATGCCCCCCACGAATTGAAGAATTCCCTAGGGAGGAAGTTGTTGGGAGAAGAGGTGGTTTGCAGACAGCACCTTTCTGCAGCCTGATCCAGCTACAGAAGTGACTGGGGGATTCTACTTCTTACATTTAGTAAGAATAAGGGTTTCATGTGATTAGAGAGCATGGTCTTTTTCTGGAAACAGCGCCATGGTGCAGTGTGTCCCTTGTGCCTGGGTGTGTTCCATGGGCCTCAGAGGCATCCATATTCATCACGGGCACCTTGCCTGCAGTGAACTGGGAGACTCATTTCATGGAGAATCTAAAAGAATTGTCTCCAGTGATGGTTCTGAGTTCACCCAGCCCTGCTGGGACATCCTATCCTGCTCACCCCTGCTTTGAAGACGGAGACACTGACTGACTGTTGGGTACTGTGTGCAACACTAATGATCCCAAACTCATAATTAGTGAGTAGGGAGAGCGTTTGAGACATTATGTAGGTCAGGGCTTCTTATATTTTACTTGTAATCCCTTTTTACCTGTGACAATTTACATATCTTTCAGAAAATGGTCTGTAAGGTTCAAGTCAAGCATAATAAATCCTAAAAAAATATATATATTAAAATAATTCCTTGGTAATTTTACAGTTGATTAAAGAGGAAAACTGATTTGCATAGTAATGGGATAGATGCCTTCTTTGTTGACTTTAAAGAATTAAATCTTGGCCAAGTAGTTGACACTGTAGGACATGGAGCATCTTCAAGTTTTTCCGAGCAGATCAACGCTTTGACTCTGCGCTCAGGATTGAGCACACTGCTTCACATAAATATGCAGTACAAAATGGCACAAGTATATTTAGGCCGTCTATAAGTTGTTGGAAACTCTGTCCAAATCCCAAGCCAAAATTAATGATTTTTTTTTTAAATGAAACTCAAATCAGCGACTCAAACACCGATTCCTAAAACCAAATATTCCTACCCAGTACAATTCAGAGACAGGCCAGTTTGCCGTGTGTGGAGGAATGGTGGTTGGAAAATGTTAAGTCTGTTTTTCTCAGTTAAACCACAATGTTTGGCTGAGAACGGACCGCTTTGGGTGTACAGTTAGCGCTGGTTCTTCACATGATCCTGACCGGGAGGTGTTGAAGGCAGCGCGGTTCCTTGGTGTAAGCACATATGTGTGCCGTGCAGAGCGCACATGCTGTTTGCTCAGAACCGAGGCTGCAGTGAAATGACATGATCCATGTCCAAGTGCTTCCAGAAGCACATCGACTCATCCAGTCCACTTGAGATTTGGAAATAAATTTTGGCCACCATGTGTTTGAATGAGAAAAAAAAAAAAAAAAAAAAAAAAAAGGTTGGATTCTATAGGGAAGGACAGCCCAGCCTCCTGAGCTGGAGAGTTCAGGGTAGTGGGTGGGGTATGCCAGCCATACCCTGTAACAAGTAGGGACCTGGCAACTAGCATCGGTTTTGATAAGTTCAATAGACGCTTCAGCCATTATTCCCAAGTTTGAAACCTAACAGTGTTCAGTAACCTTTTGTTTTTCGAATCTTAGACAGTCTTATTAACAGAAAACTGAGCCAGATATTGGGGTAAAAGCTGAAAGATCAGAGAAGCAGAGCAAGCCAAGCCAACCTCACCTTACCAACTCCTCAGCTGATCCTGAAAGCCTCTGAGTTCTCACCCGAAAGGCCTCAGCCAAAAAGAGCCTTTAGTTCCTGTCTCCTCACGCCTTATATACTACCTTTCTTTGCCCTACCATATTACTTCCTGGGATTAAAGGCGTGTTCACTTCCCAAACAAAGGCACGAGATCTCAAGTGCTGGGATTAAAGTTGTATGCCACCACTGCCTGGCTGTTTCTCTCCTAGACCGAGTCAATCTCATGTAGTCCAGGGTGGCCTTGAACTCACAGAGATCCAGATAGATCTCTGCCTCCCCAGTGCTGGGATTAAAGATGTGTGCCACCACTGTCTGGCCTCTATGTTTAATCTAGTGGCTTGTTCTGTTCTCTGCTCTTCAGGGAAGTTTTATTAGGGTACACACTATATCACCACAACCTTTTCTATTGCAGAAAATTTCACAGCCTTTGAGTAACATCAAGTAACATCACATTGAGTAACGGGACCCATATGAGGTTGTAACCCATAGAGTTTAAGAAGCTGGGGCTTGGTCAGTTCACCTACCTTTCGTCTGAAAGCGTAGAGTGTCTCCTTCCATCCCTTACCTTTGGGAACTTAGGACCAGGCTGCTCTTTGCAGTAGCAGCTTAGTTCTTTCCGAGCTGCTAATGAGATCTGTCAGAGAAAGGAGCTGTGGCTTAAGCCGAACTGTTTACTTAAGGTAGGCAGACGGGGGCAAAGCAGAGGGAATGTTTTGTCATAGCTGATGATTCCGCCGGAGAGCTCTGCCGGGGCAGTTAATTATTCTTGCCGTTGTAACTAATCATTACCAGAACCCCTGTTTCTGGAATAGTCCCAGGGGAGGGTGCTGATCACCAGAGCAACATTCCCTTCTCAGGATCAGAGTTTTATAGCCCTCAGCCCAGTAAAATGGTGGGAATACACCGAAGGAGGGGATGAAGGAGGGGCTGTGACCGTGTTTGTGGAAGACCACATGGCTGATGGTGGCGGGGTTTTACACTCGCTTTGGAAGATGGTCCCCGGCATTGGGTCTGTTATCTGGATACACATTCATGCGTTATATAGTCATAGTTCTTATTTGCTTCACTTCTACAGTACCTTAAGGTACAGGTTTTAATTCTGGGGCAAATTCTCATAAAATGAAAGGCAAGCCTTAGTTTTCTTGGCTTGTTGAAGGGCCGCTCTCATGCAGTGAGTCCTTAAGAGACGGAGAAACTCAGAGGACCACCCAGAGTTCCCTCAAACACATGCTCAGGTAGTTAATGTTCTTACAACAGCAAACTTAATTCATGGTTAATTAAAAATGTACAAATGCACAAATTTTCAAAAGAATGAATTAGATTCTTGTCACCCCAGAGTTGTTAAGTTTGGGGTTGTTGTTATCTTTTTATAGGACTTCTTATTTGTATCCATTCACTTGTAATTTTAAAAAATGACACATGGTATGTATTGCATATTTTCACTTAAGGTCAAGGACACTTACTGTGTTACCACATTTGGTAAAAAGTAGATGCAGACGTAGTTTTATGGTGCCTGCTCCTTGCACCTAGCGTCCTGGGCTCCATGTGTAGCATCACAGGTACACACAGGCTGTTACTTAGCCATCCCATTCTAACAAGCGTAGTGATAATTGCAGAGTTTTTTCTCAGTAGGAATAGTGCTACAATGACTTTGACCACACCTGTGGGTTCTGACCAGAGATGGTTCTCTGGGTTAGCATTTGGCAGTTTCTGGAAATGTTTTTGATTGTCATACCAGAGTGAAAGGTGCTGCTGTCCTCTCAGGGGCCACAGCTGCTTCTGGGTCCACAGAAAGAATGAACTGGACCTAAAATGTATGAGTGTTGGGGGTGGCCAGGTTCCATCTCAGCCCACCTATTGAATTGTTAGGTCAAAAAGGCTGGTGAGCCTGTGAGGTGGCTCAGCAGGTCAAAGTGTGGGCCTAACACCTGAGTTTGGTTCTGAGAGAACGTGTAAAAATTTGGATGCAAGTGGTACCTGTCTGTAAACCTCAGCCCTCCTCCTGGGAGACAGGAGGTGGAGACAGGAGACTCCGGACAGCTGCAGTCCAGCCAGCCTGGGGGACAGAACATGGCAGAAACAAGAGGGACCTTGCCTCAACAAAGTGGAAGGAGGGAGACAGCTTCCTCTGATCTCCTTGCATCATTGTGGCATGTGTGTGCCCTTACTCACAAACGTCATCCACAGCAATAATTTTTTTAATCAGCATCTTACCTTCAATTAGTCCTGCCAGTTTGGCACCAAAAATGTGGATCAGCCTCAGTACCCTTCACTTCACCAATATTTAATTTTATGCATCTTAAAATATTTACAGGTCCAGAACAAAAACCATATGTATTAGTTGGTGTGTGTGTATGTGTGTGTGTGCACACACACACTTGCAGTTGGCAATTGAAGACTCCTGGTGGTAAGTGTGCACTGACTGTTCTGTCTTTTCCTCTGTGCCTGCCATCAGAATCGATGTCCATCGTAAGGAGAATACAGGGGCTGCCGAGAAGCCCATTACCATCCTCTCTACCCCTGAGGGTGCCTCTGCAGCTTGTAAATCTATTCTGGAGATCATGCATAAGGAAGCGCAGGACACCAAACTGTGAGTAACGAGGCTAGCCTGCTGAGAGGGCTCTGGGCTTTGTCGTAGCTTCTTGGACACGGTCTTGGGGGTTGGTGTTTGCCACTGTGACGAGCCGTGAAACACTAGGTCTTTCACATACCGAAACACTCCACGTTCGTTCCTACTTAGATATGGAACGGGCAGCAGTAATGGGAGGACACAGCCAACCGAGGGCCAAGACATTGGGATTGACCCCGGCCTTCCCTGGCTGCCCTTGGGCATGCTCTTTTATACCCAGCCCCTCTATGCACAATAGGGCACGGAGTGTGAAAGTCCCTGTTTCTGTGCTAAGGGCAGCTCGAGATTGATTTGGGTGGTGGGGGTTGGAACTCCCAGTGTCTCTGCCATTGGAAAGTTAAGCTGACTTCTGTGCTACTTTGATGAGCTGACACAGCCCAGAGCGGGGCCCAAGGAGGTGCCCTGAGACCACATCGCCTCTGTTTATTTTGTAAATATGTCCGTATGTTTCAGTGATAGGTGTCTTATATGACGTAGTAGTTTTTTAGTATAAAGAAAAGAAAGGGAAAGCCCACTATCATATAGGCCCCAGTGACATTTAAAAAGCATGACATTGTAACTTAGAAATTCTGAAAGGGGGACTGGGAAAGGAGCTCAGTGGTCCAGTACCTGCTGTGTAAGCGTGAGGACCTGCACTTGGGTCCCTAGACTCAGGTCAGAGCTGGCGTGCCAGTGTATTTGTGTGTCTCCGCCTTTGAGGACATAAAGACAGCAGCAGATCCTGGGGCTTCTCTGGCCAGCCAGCCTAGCAAATCATCAAGCTCCAGGCTCAGCGAGCGACCCTGTCTCAGGAGACAGAGGGAGTGTAACAGAAGCAGGCACTCGACACATCGACTTCTGGCCGACATGTGTGCACTCAGGGGCGAGTGTACCTACCTATGTGTGTATAGACTCAGATACAACCTCCACACAGAGGGGAAGTAAGGCACAGAATACAGCGTGGAAGCTCCATTTCTGCTGGTAGTCTCCCTAAGTGTGACCTGTTGAGTTTTTAGAGCTTATTTTTCTCCAGGTGTGTGTTTTCAGGGTTATCTTAGGTCGCACTATTTTGATGGGCACATTGTGTTCTGCTATGACTTAGAGAATCCATCACTGAGTGTAGATATTCCCTGATGTGACTAAAAGATGGAGTCCTGTGTAAATATCTGCTACTGTTTACCCACCGACCTGCATGAGTTGCTGGAATGTGGGTTAATTGCCAGCTCACTCTAAACTGGAGGCAGCATAACATTTCTCATTCAGCAGTTAGGGAGTGAATATTTAATGAAAGAACATTGTCTTGTATCCAAGAGTACTTTACTCTCCCTGACTTGATGACCATTTTTCTACTTACAGCACAGAGGAGATCCCCCTGAAGATATTAGCTCACAACAACTTTGTAGGCCGTCTTATTGGTAAAGAAGGAAGAAACCTTAAAAAAATCGAGCAAGACACAGACACTAAAATCACAATATCTCCGTAAGTGCCATCTTGTTTGTGAGTTGGGGGACTTTCAGATCTGGTTTTAAGCTGTGTGTTTTGTACACCACTCCCTGCGTACAGCTGTTTGGGCTCTCCTGTCAGAACGAGAACCTGTTCCTCAGCCTGCCCTGTTTCTAACCATCTTGAAGTGTGCTGTGTTCTCGAAGAGGTGGAAAGGAAAGCTTAACACTTGACATGACATTCGTATTTTCTAGCTGACGTCTTCATGGTCTTGTTTGACATTCCCCAAGTCAGAATCTATAACCTAATTCATTCTCCTCTGCCGTGTTACAAATTATTCCACCATTTGACGGCTTAAGGCAATAGTCAACATGTACCGCATGGCTTGTCTCTATGGGCTAGGGATCCACAAGCAGCCAGTACTGCAGTACTGCTCACAGGGCTACTGCCCTCTCCCTGAGGGAGTGAGCCAAGAAAGAGAAGGCGCTGGAAGTTGTAATGTCTTTATGATGAAGTCTCCGAGTTTGCAAACTAGCTGTTTCCTGTATGGTCTGCACGAGTCAGCCCTCTTCCATGTGTGTGGGGACTGCAGATTTCTTTGCAAGGGGCATAATTTTAGAGCTGGGCTATCATGTCTGGGGTACACAGCTGCTCTGATAATAAGGAAAAGTTTTTCTTTTCTTGAGGTGACAGTCCTTGGTCTCTATCATAGGACCTCAGATGTGCTGATGAGCTGAGAATGAACGATAGAATTACACACAAAACGCTGACAGGGATGGCTTGAGAGGGGAGGTTCAATATGCCCGTGCTTACATGTGTGCTTACATGCGTGCTTACTTACATGTCTAAGGAAATTTAGACTCCATTACAGAACTCACTTCTTCACTATATGATTCACATTTTATACCCATGAGGAGAATGAATACTGCCCCATCCACCTGGTGCAAGGCTAGTCTCCACTGTGTTCCAGCAGGGAAGTGCGTCTTTAACTCTGAGAACATGAAGGATGGTCATCCTCCTTCCCTCCATCCTTTGAGCCTAGGTCCATAGTCCTCTTCCTGGGTAAATGTTGCCTTTCCTCTCAAGGCTGCTGACTACTGTAGGCTTAGGTCACCCAGACAGAATTTCTCCTGGCTTTGAAGCTTCAGCAGGACCAGTCTAAGCAAGTTCCTTAATGTCTGTTTAGGGGTTATAAATCAAGTGAAACATTTAAAAAATTGAGTGGTTGGGTGGTGGTAGCACATGTCTTAATCCCAGTACTCAGAGGCAGAGGCAGGTGAATCTCCTAGTTCAAGTTCAGCCTGGTGTTTGGGGTGAGGTCCAGGACAGCTAGGGATACACAGAGAAACCCTGTCTTGTAAAACCAAAAATAAATTAATTATAAATAAAAATTTTAGTCAGGCGGCGGCGATGGTGGCGCATGCCTTTAATCTCAGCACTTGGGAGGCAGAGACAGGTGGATCTCTGTGAGGTTAAGGCCAGCCTGGTCTACAGAGTGAGATCCATGACGGGCACCAAAACTACACAGAGGAACCCTGTCTCGAAAAACCAAAAAAATAAAAGAAAAAAGAAAAAATTTAGTCAAAATGGCTTGATTTATGTTATTCCTTCAGCTTACTTTAATCTAAATTCTGAAAATATTGGAGGACGCTAAGTTCCATCACACAAATGCTGATTTGCTTTGGGAAGTATTTTCCTTGCTTGCCCTAGAAAATGCAGTTGCACAGCCTAGCAGGTCCTGCTTTGTTTTGGCCAGTACAGACTAGGGGCCCCTGGCAGTACTGTGTATCCCTCTGGTCCCTCCTCCGCAGTTCACTGTCACAGGGTGAGCTGAGGGGGTCAAAGAGTAAGTTGTGCGGATTAGAGAGATGGCTCAGTGGTAAAGAGCACTGGCTCTTCTTCCAGAGGACCCGGGTTCAATTCCCAGCATCCACATAGCAGCTCACAGCTGTCTGTAACTCCAGTCCCAGGAGATCTGACACCCTCACACCAATGCACATGAAATAAAATTAAATAAAAATTTTAAAAATACCTTAAAAAAAAAAAGAAGAAAGCCGTGTTTAAAACATGTACGTAATGAAACTGTGCGCCCAGTCATTGAGGGAGTGGGAAGGAAGTTCCCACAAGTCTTGGGTCTTTGGGTCTTGATCTGTCGCTTTCTCATGATGTGGGCCCTGCCACTGCGGCTGAAGGCACTCGGCCGCCTTCCTCGTCACCCTCGTCACCCTCGTTCTCTGTCTTCCCCCAGGTTGCAGGAGCTCACGCTGTACAACCCGGAGCGCACCATCACTGTTAAAGGCAGCGTGGAAACGTGTGCCAAGGCTGAGGAGGAGATAATGAAGAAAATCAGGGAGTCTTACGAAAACGACGTTGCCTCCATGAATGTTAGTTCTGATGGAGAGTTAAAAGACGGCTTCCGGGGCACTTCATCGTGAGAAGTGGTTTAAATGAGTTGTCCGCACCATCCCCAGTACCCGGCGGTAACACAGAAAGAAGCCTGGGCGTGGGGCTTAGCTGTCTCCGTGGTTTCTAACAGATTAGAAAACTCTGAGTCTCGGCTTCTTGATACGTGCAGAATGATTAATGCCCGCCTACCAAAGGTCATTTATGACCTCCTTTCCTGTGTTAATTTGAGGGCCCTGGTGCAGGGAGGATGTGAGGATTAGAGGCAGGGGAACTAAGTTTGAGTCCCTGCCTCCTGTTCGTGAGCAGTGGCCCCCTTCTCTGTATCAGATAGCGCTGTCTCCTATTTTACCTGCTGCTTAGGATCACAAGTGCCACGCATGTCAAGGTCACTGTCAGAAACACAGGCTTGAGAGCCAGGCGGGGTGAAGCAGGCCCGGCAACTCGGAAGGCTGAGGGGGTGGATGGCAAGTGCAGGGCCACCCTGAGCAGTTCAGAAGGGCCCTGTCTTGAACACAGTGATGCAGTTTAAGGCTGTGAGTGCATCCTCCGCGCTGGAGGGCTAGCCTGGCGGGCCTCGGCTCCTGCTCTGCAGAACAATGAAACGGCGGAAACACAGGGTTGAATTTTACTGTTGCCCCTATAAACCTGGGAGGTGGAGAGTGCCATGTGGCAAATGTAGCAGAGGCTATGGAAGCCAATTCCTGCCACTGTTTAATGGATGGAATGGTGCTGACCACGGAACGCAAAAGTCTGTCTTTTAGAAAGGCGCTCCCTAAACATGAGGTAAATGATTTACCAAACTTGGGTTGGGCCTGTCATCTGAAACGGTAGCCTGAGAAGGGGATAGGACAGCGTTTTTTCTGAGAAGAACCTGGAATGCCGGTCATTTTCTCCCACATGGTAGTCTGCTATCTTTACGTGATTGCTGCTTGTCTAAACGTTTCATAACTGGGAATTAATCCACCCTCATAGGCCTGGTTCACAGTGTCCGATACACTCCAGTTCAGCCTCCACCTTTTTCAACTCTTATAAAACTAGGGCTGGAGAGATGGCTCGGTGCTTAGGAGCACTTGGCTGCTCTTCCAGAGAACCAGGGTTTGATCACTAGCACCCACATGGCAGCTCACAACCATCCTTAATTCCATTCCCAGGGGCTCTGGCACCCTCTTCTGGCCTCTGTGGGAACTGCATGCACATGGTGCACAGCTCTACAAGCAACTAAAACACCCACACACATATGTTTAAAACATTAAAAAAAAATTAAACCAAACAGTGTTCCCTTCACGGCTCCTGTGTCCACCCTGAGGGTGTGCTTAGCTGTGGCGCTTGCAGTGTGAAGAAGGGACCTGATTTCTGAAGGAGTCAACCAGAGGGCAAGGAAGGAAGATCTTACACTGCTGGTTCTGTGTATCTGTTGTGATTCCCGAAAGCGCATCTCACTTGTTTACCTTTCAGCTAGTGTAAGACTTCCAGGGTGTGTTTCCAAGGGCCACCGTGTGCAGAGTGCCATTCTGTCTTAAGTGCTCTGAGCTGCATCCCTTGGCCCTGAGGATCAAGACCGGGCAAACCAGCCCTCAAATGCAACTGCTGAGAGGTGTGAACAGTGCCTGTAGTTCTGTGGGAACACTTGCTGTGTTCAAAACCTGGAGTCTTAATGTGATACTTCATTTTCTTCATTAGATAAGAGGTCACAATCTGAATACCATCATTTACAAATGCTCACTCCCTCGGTTCTTCTGAGTGAAAATTAAGGGACCTTTTTTTTTTTTTTTTTTTTTTTTTTTTTTTTTTTTTTTTTAGACAGGGGTTCTCTTTTGTTTTTTGAGACAGGGTTTTTTTAAACCATTGCAGCTTCAAGCACACTTAATTCCTGGATTGAATCTGAATGCCTTGGGTCTGTTTCCACCCACTTCAGGGATGCCACCTCCCACCTCAGGGCCCCCCTCAGCCATGACTCCTCCCTACCCACAATTTGAGGTAAGCTCTCTGGCCCTTGCCATCAGACTTTATGCCACAGAATTGCTGCAGTCAGAGCTAAATGGTGTAATGTTGATGCCAAACTGTACGCTCTGTGATCTGCTACCTGTGCGGAGCACATGCCAATAGAGACTGTTCATTTGACCATAACATAGTAAGCAGGAGTTGTTTTGAAGTTTTGGGCTTGGTAGAGTTGTGCGAATGTGTCATTTCAATAAAAACTTTAGTGTTGGTGGATTTGCTTTGTTTTGTCTTTTGGTTCAGTTCTGGGTCGGGGCTGGATGTCTTAGAACGGCGGTTCTCAAGCGTCCTGATGCTGCGGCCCTTTAATACAGTTCCTTGTGGTGTGGTTGAAAGGACCTGTGTGGTCACAAGACACACCAAGACCAAGTTCTCAGCACAAAGGGGATTTGCCCCAGAGGGACAAAGGGCAGGAAATAAGAGACAGAGACAGGAAAGAGGAGAAAAGGAGAAGGGGAAAGGGTGTTTGCCCCAAGGGACAAAGGACCGCTTCTGGACAGAGTAGGAGACAGCCGTGGCCCTGAGGCAAGTGACAGTTTATGATGGGAAAGGGGAAACCTCAAGTTAGGATGAGTTGGTTTGTTCTGATTGGGCATGTTAATTAGGGTAACCAAAAGGGGGATTTGATTGCTGGACTTCAGTACTTTGGTGGCTGGACCTTGGTCGTCAGCCTCAGGAGGAGAAAGTGGCCAAATAAGGGAATAGGCCTTGGTGGTTGGCTTTAGGAAAGTCATCTGACCAGTTAGTAAGGCAGAGGGAGTGGGGGAGGGGCAAGGCTGCCAGAGCCGTGTGTGCCATGCTTGGGCCTGCTAGAGCCCTTCAGTGGTGACACCCCCCCCCCATCAAATTATTTTAGCTGCTATTTCAGAACTGTAATTTTGCTACGATTATGAATCATAATGTGAATGTCTGTTTTCCACTCATCTTCGGTGGCCCCTATGAAAGGGTCCGGTTGGTCTGCCTCCAAAGGGGCCCTGAACTACAGGTTGAGAGGGGCTGTTTGAGAGACTTGAAGCAGAGAGGTTTTGGAGACTTCGTGCTGGACACAGAGTGCACACCTCTAAGTCCAGCACGGCTGCTGAGGCAGGAGTATTGTGGGGTTAAGGTCAGTCTGGATTCCACAGCAAGACTTTGTCTCACAAAGACACTTTTTCCTTTCATCTTTACCCCCTACTGCTTTAGGAAGTCCAGATAGGCTGGATTTGTTGACTGTTGACTGTTGTATATTTTTCTGGTCAGTGAACCAAGATCATTTCTTTGATTCTACTGTGTTCAGGGACAGGACATTGAACAGCTTCCATTTTATAGAGATCACATAACAAAATGTATTTATTTATTGAGAGGGATTTTTACAATTTGTCTTATGTGCATGGGTATTTTTCTCACATGTATGTCTGTGCACATGTGTGCCTCGTACCCACGGATGTCAGAAGAGGGGTGTCAGATCCCCTAGAACCGGAGTTATGAATGGTTGTGAGTTGCCATGTGGGTGCTAGGAATTGAACTCGGGTCCTCAGGAAGAACGAATGCTCTTAACCACCGAGCCTTCTCTCCAGCTCTGAGACAGGGATTTGTTTGTTTGCCATGTAGCCCAGGCTGGCCTCACACTCGCTCTCCTACCCTGCTTCGCCGGTGTTGTGAGCCATCGGGCTTTTCCTAAGTCTTACTTTGATATCTGGTTTTTGGGAATAGCTTTGCAGCCCAGAGGGCATCTGTCCAGGAAAGCAGAACATCATTCAGTGTGCGGTCATTAGCATCCAGCGTTCTAGGGTCATCCATGATGAATTTATCTGTCCATTTGTTAGACTTTCTCAGTACATGAAATATGCGAATGGTAATTCCCATGTACACTCAGAGATGTTCAGGTGTTCAAGGTCAAGAATTTAATTGTGTTGCTGCCCTGAGTAAATACACAAGAAAATTGACATGGGCATTCTTCAGGGAACACCAATTACTAGACTGGCGGTGCTCGACCAGTTCAGAAATGAGAATTTCCTTCCTGTACTTGAGTCTTTTAGGCTGATATGGTATTGTAAGCTGTCTCCCTCTGGTGTATGTTTCTGCTTTTCCATGAGTAAGCCATGGGGAGCGGTCAGCCTACAGTGTTTCCCCGTGACCTCTGCTCGGCTTCAGCTCCTGCCTCAAATCTTGTCTCTTTCTCTGCAACTCACCTGCCCTATGTAGTTGTTTGGACCTAGAAATCATGTAACAACTCTGAGGGTAGCTTTCACAATGGTGACTAAAGAAACACCTGGACATGGTTGTGCTCCTACAGTCTCAGCTACCTGGGAGGCTGAAGAAGGGGAATCACCTTGGGCAACCTAGAGAACTGGTGTCTCCAGAACAGTGGCCACAGAATGGCCACCAAATGTCCAGGATGAATGGATTCCTGAGGTGTCATCTGAAGCCTTCAGCTCAGATGAAGGTGCTATGTGTGAAGCGGATGGCAGGTTTGTGCCCTGAGAGGAGTCTTGGGGAAGAAGCGTGGGGTCACTCCGGGTCTGTCCTAGCTCTGCTGTGACTTTGTGCCACCGAAGGTCAGGCTCTTCACTGCCCTGGGTCTGTTTTCATAGTGAAGAACAGGGTGACAGGAGGCAGGAGTCTCGCTGGGAGTTCTTGGTCAGCTTAGGCTCTCTGGTGGGACCAGGCAATCCTGGACTATGGAGTGAAACCTCAACCCGAAAGCCAGTGTGGGGGTCGGGGACCTGTGTTGGATGAATGATCTCTGAAGGCTTTCAGGTCAAGTATTTCTTTTGTCCACAGACTTGAGTACTGTGTCCATTGGTAGTAAGGTGGAAGGCCTAAAATAGAAATTCAAGAGTGCATTCAAGTCAGTAATTGTGTGGGGTGGGGCTTTGTTTGTTGTTCTTCAGCTTGACACAAACTAGGGTCATCTGGAATGAACGAACTCAACTGGGAAAATGCCTCTGTCAGATTCACCTATGGGCAAGTCTGTGGGGCCTTCTCTAGATTAAGGACTGGTGTGGCCGGGGCCAGCCCACTGAGAATGGTGCCGCCCCCAGACCCCACGAGTGGTTCTGAGTTGTATAAAAATGCATGCTGAGCAAGCCGTAGGGAGCAAGACAGTAAGCAGTGTTCCTCCATGGCCTCTGCGGTTCCTGCCTTGGGTTCCTGCCCCAACTTCCCCTTCCTGATACACTGTGATCAGGAGGCATAAGCCAAATATGCTTTTTCCTCCTTGTGCTTTGGTTATGGTATTTATTACAGCAATAGCAAGCAAGCTGGGACAGTTGTTTAATCCTGACAGACCCCATAGTTTATCACACATGGACACGTTGTGCTAGGTTCACGTTTACAGACGATGCATCCCTGACGTTCACCTAGACTTACAGTGTGCTGACTATGCGAAGTCCTTGTGCCACATAAGGCTGAGTCTGATGGACACTGCTGCTCACCCCCTAACCCAGCTGTCTCTTTGGGCAGGTCCTGTCTGTTCTGTTGCTCGGGCTCCTGGTTTGTACATGGAGGTGCTGTAAATTAGTTTATGCCTTTAACTCTTGGTTGTTCTTGTTCTGTCTCTGGAGAGCAACCTCTCAATTACAGATGGTAAACTGATAGAACAGTCTTACTGTCTATCCTTTACACTTATTTGGATACTTTATGTCCTAAAGTGAATTGCTACGTGACTGCTTTTTAAATATAGAAATAAGGCCGGGCTGGCGTACGCCTTTAATCCCAGCACTTGGGAGGTGGAGCCAGGCGGATCTCTGTGAGTTTGAGGCCAGCCTGGGCTACAGAGCGAGATCCAGGACAGGCTCCAAAGCTGTCTATGGAGGCAGGCATGACGGCACAGCGGTTAGAGCACTGGCTGCTCTTCCAGAAGACCCATGTTTGGTTTCCAGCACAAACGTGGTGGTTCATAACCACCCATAATTCCAGTTCCGGGAGATTGACCCCCTCTTCCGATCTCCATAGGTACCAGGCACTCATGCAGTGTACATACGTACATCTAGGCAAACACTCATACACATAAAGTAAAAAAAATCCAAAACTTTAATTCATCTAAAATTTACAAATAAAAGATCATAACTGCCCTCTAGTCATTTTTCTGATTTAATACTGTGGTTTTAAACATCATATATCTGTGTTAATAGACCAATGTTTTAGGAGTATGAGATCATATTAACAGTCTTCATTCTGAAGCCCGTTTTAAGTATCTAGAGTAAAGGCTCACCAGTATCCTGTAAAGAACACAAGCAGCTGAGAGGTCCATGTTTGGTCGCCGTAGAAACAAGTGCTTCCTTTGCCTGTCCTAAGCCACATTACGTCTTAAAGGTGGCTTGCACAAAATTTTAAGAATAGGGAGGCTGGAGATGCTCACTTACTCGGCTCACAAAGGACCACAGAATGAAGACCTTTGCTCTTACAGAGGTATTTGTGCTCAATCGGATTAGATGAGGGATGGGGTTACAGCTCAGAGGTTGGGTCCCTGGAAACTGCTCAAGTAAGGTCGGTGTTGCTGTAGGCAGGAACTGAGGACATCCTAGGGGCGGCCGGCTGCGAGGATGGCAGGGGAAGCACTCATTCCCAAAGGACCAACTTTGCAGGATGCTGGGAAGCTTTTCCTCTTCCTGGTTGATGAAGTGGAGTCCTCGGTGTGTGTGGACATTTCTACAAAGTGTAGGAGATACTATTGAAATGTGAAGGCTGAAAGAGCAGAGGCTGCTCTGTGTCCTGGCAGGTCTGCTTGCTGGGTCTATGTCGCTGAGAAACACTTCAACTTCACCTTTCTGTTGGTACCAGACCCCTAAGAGTGTCAGGAGTTAACCATTGACCTGAGAAACAGAAAGAAGGAGGCTTATTATTTCCTTTATCTTTTTTTCTCCAGAATTGGGGGGGGGGGGCTTTTCATTTGTAGATTACAAATATGTGCTTAAAATTACCTTTTTCAAGAGAGACGTGGTGGCTGGCACACACCTTTAATCCCAGCACTTGGAGAACAGAAGCAGGTGGATCTC